AACACGAGCGGCCCCTGCTAGATAATGCCAGGCGCAAATATCTTGTTCTCCCACCTGCAGGTATACCATGACCGCTAATGTCCAGATTTGCAGCCACTTCGATACTGCTTCCACGTTGCAAGATCATGCTTGCGCAGTGCGCGTGCCAGCTGAAGAAAGCGAGATCCCTTTAGACGTGGCTCTCCATCATGACGACCTGATGCGCGCCGGACAAGCGGCCGGGGTCGCGGCCGCTAGATCTGGAATGGCCGGCACCGAGCGCAGCAGCACGACCCGGAAAACCAACCGCGGTGGCAATGGCAGACTTGGGCGCCCAAAAGAAGACCGAGGACGAGGACGGCGCTACACGCACAGGGCGCGGCCGCGGCGCCATCGGCGGGGGCGGCAGGGCCAGCGCGAGCAGCCGCGGCAAAGGCTGGGAGGGGAGGGCGGCCAAGGCGCGGGGGGGGGGCGCGCCGCGCCAGAGCCGACCCCGTGCTGAAGAAGCCCCTCGCCGCCCGGATCAAGCAGTTCTTGGCCAATGTCCAGCAGCCGGCATGGATCTTGGCGGCAGTCTACAGCGCCTACCTCGTGCGACAGCACTCAGGCGAATCTGACGATCTTCATCGAGTCGGGCCCACGGGCGACGCGGAGACGGAAGAGGCGCCCACCAAGGAGCAGCGCAAGCAGGCCACCATCAAGTTCGCGATCCATCGCGGATCGCGGCCAACTCCAGTTAGGGGCAGCGACGGAGGGGGGCAAAGCGCCAACGGGAGAAACTGGGGGCGAGCTCGAAGCCTGGCTCGCGGGACGGCGATCGAGAAGGCCGATCACCCACGCCATGTTCGGCAGAGGCTCGGCGCGCGCGGCGCCGCTGAGCTAGTGGAGATGCCGCTCTGGGGCGGCGACGGCGGGGGCCTCGTCCACGCGCGCGTTGCGCGACTCCGCCCACCGAGGCCGCTCTTCTGCGCCGGCGAGGTCTGTGCCCAGGTCGTTGCTCGGTGTTTCGCCACGACGTGTCATGTCCACCCGCGATCCCCCGCCTTCTCGGGCGCGCCCCTTCCTCCCCCCGCTCCTTCTCGCGCCTCCATCTCCGCGCGCCTCCGCTCGATGCCTTCGGATTTTCGCGTTTGGCCGAGTTTCTGGCGCCTCTCCATGGCTTGGCCAGGGGCCGCGGGAGAGGTCTAGGGCCTGGGGGCGGCCCTCTTTTACCTAAATTGCCCGTCCTGCCATTTTTCCTCGGGATGCGCATTTCTTCTTAGGATGTGTCTTTCTCCTTTCTCGCCCTCAGCCATTCTCCCCCGTCTCCCCTCCCCCCTTCCGCCTGTTCGGGTCGCCAGGGGGTCGGCTCGCCTCCTGGGTACCCAACCCTCGTTCAGCTTCTTTGGAAGATTTCCGGCGTAGCACAGGACAAGCACGATGCAGAACGATGTTGTGCTCGTCCTCCCCGCCTGCCCCTTCCGCTGGAATCTCGTCGCGCGGGTGTCTGCAAGGCTGCCCTCGACAGGGGGCCGCGGCGCGCGGCGCAGTGCACCCCCGAGGGCTCGCGCCGGGGTGCGACTGCAGTTGGGCGTCGTGGCGGGGACAGCTCAACACAAATATCATCACAGTGACGCTGGCCTCTTTCTTCTTGCTTGGGCGCTCGAGACGCCGAGGACTGGGGAGGGCCTCGGGGTCCCCCGGGGCCTCCAAAGTACGGCGGGCCTTCGTCGCTCCACAGCCAAGCGTCACCATCCACGACCCCGCCCGCCCTTCTCAACGAGTCCGCCTGCGCCTCTGCAGTGGTCCCCAAACGCCGGAGCCACTTCTCCGCGACAGTTGCTTCCCCCGTATTTCAGCAATCCGTTTCGCAGCGCCCACACCCGCATTGAAAGTAAGGTGAAAGAGGCCTCCCCCCCACGCACATCCTGATCCCCTGGGCCCAAGCTTTTTTGGGATGCCCCTGTCCCTGCTTACGGTTGGCCAGTGGTGGCACGAAGTTTCCAAGCCAGCGGCGCTTCTGGATGTAGCAACAAACAGTGCAGAAAATAGAGAGAGAGAGAGACAGAGAGAAATAGCATGTATGGTTTATTGAATATACGCGGCGAACGGGGGAGAGAGCGGGAGTGGGAGACAGAAAGAGAGAGAGAGAGAGAGAGATAATGAAATAGAGAGAGAGATATAACGATAGTGATAGAGGGAGATAGCGATAGAGAGTGGGGGAGGCAGAGACAGCGAGGGGGGGAGGGAGAGAGGGAGAGAAAGGGAGGAGGAGACAGAGCAGGACGACCGTGCATCATCAGGTCTTGCCACCTTCGGGAGCGCGAAGACGGTCGCGATTCGCGCGTCGCGGCCGGGGCAGGAGAGCCACTTCCCTTCGGGGTGGGCGCGCGAGGGCGCGACCAGAATCGAGAGCCTCGCTCCGCTCAGAGCGACGCGCGAAGTTGGGTGACTCAGTTCTGGGTGCTGTTGTCTCCTCGTCGGCTATGCTGTGCCATCTCGGAGGCCGTTCTGGGCTATCTGGGGCTATCTCGAAGTCACAGTCGTCCTGACTCGTCGCGCCCCCCACCACACCGTCCAGGCTCAGGGGGAGGGGCTTTTGGGGAGTGGTGGAGTGCTCCCCAATGGAGCGCGCTCGGCGCATCCTTGCCTTCGGCGGAGACTGGGGCGGAAGGGCCAGCGGAAGAGGCTGCATCGTGGCGGGTCCAGCAGCGACAGTGAAAACGAGACGTCAACAGTTGTGGATGCGGGACTTCGGATCGAGGCATGTGTCCCCTGAGATCTCTGACGCCTGTGTGTGTGACACGCTGCCCCCAGAAGAGTCGTGTGTCCGCTCGGACGTCCTCTGTCTTCGGCGCCCTTCTGGAGGTCCTCCGCGACTGGGCCTGTTGGTACGTGGGCCCCTGCAGCGAGGACCCCAGGGGTGTTCGCCGCGCGGCCGAGGGGCAGCGTGCAAAACTGGTTCTTGTTCTCGCCAGGCACTCTTGACATCCCCGTCCTTCACGTCGCCTGTGCGGGGCGGTCTCCGAAGCCGCGGCCTCTCTCTGACGAGGGTTGGCGCCTGCGTCGAGCGCCCTCCCTCCACCACCCGACCGCAGGGAGGGGAATCGACGGGGGAGGGCGCGGGAGGGCCAGAGGGAGGGGGCGGCGCAGTTGCCGCAGCGTTTCCCCACCTGTCCGCCGCGCAGTTGGACAGAATACAGAACTGGAACGTGAAGATGGGCTTCTCCCTGAACGGGACCGAGGGCCTGAAGTTGATCATGATTACTTTTCTCATCGTGGGGATCGGGATGCAGGGGAAGGGCGGCCGTTCGTGCGCGAGCGCGCGCTCATGACGGGAGCGAGTCCAGAATGCTGCCGGCGAAAGCTGGCAGAGCTTGTGACGAGCAGTCGTGTATGACCGCAGAGAGAGAGCCGTCGATCGGCACGGACCCCCAGCGCCCAGCGGGGACGCGCCCCTCCTGTATTTTTTGATGTCCCGCGCCCCCCTGGGAATTCTGGCAGTGCGATTCGGGCGCGGGCCCCCCCGCTTACGCGCTGGGCTCCGATACTCCCCGGACCCGGACCCCCAGCGCGCAAGCCGTCTATGGGCAGGGACCCCGCGGGATGCGTCCCGGCGGCCGCGCGGCGGGGCGCGGCGGTCTGCCCTGGGAGGCCTCTCGCCTCTTCGCGGTGGCCAGCCCAGGTGGGAAGTGAGAGGGCGCGTGCCTTGTCAGAGGTCTCGGAAGCCCCCCCCCCAGCCTTCTGAGAAGTTTTCCGAGTCGTCCCCAGAAGCACGGAAGGGTTCTCAGAAGGTACCCGCATTGCTACCCTTGCCTCGTGCTCGCCGTTTTGGGGACTCCTGGGAGGCCCTCGTCGCCACCGCTGAGTTCGCCTCGAGATTCTGGTCAGAACGCACCCTGGGAGAGGTCTGGGGAGTAGCGGTATGGGTACTCCGAGTTTCTTCATAAGCGTCGGAGGGCCGCCACCCCCGCCGACAGCCCTACATCGACCCCCGTCGCGGGCCACCGAGCGCCGAAGGCGCTCCGACCTCCGTCGCAGCGCGACGCCGATGCGAGGGTTGACACCCGTCGGGGGGGTGCTCCCCCACGCTTATTGAGAAACCCAGAACCCAGAGTACCTGTGGGTTCCCCACTCTTGCCTCTTCGCGGCCCCGTGATCCTCTCTGGAGGGCCCGTCTCGATCCGGTCCGCCTCGATGCCGATTCGGTCCGATCGATCCAGCTTCTGTGTCGATTTCGCCAGGCCCGATCCGATGCCGCGCCGGATTTCCAACGATCCATCCGATGCGGCCCGATGCTCGCGTGGCGCCGTCGTGCATCGTGGCGCGTCCGATCGGATTCGCTTTCAATGCCGTGCCGAGGCGGCCCGACCCGTCTCACGTTTCGATTCGATCCGTTTTTTCTCGATCTGGTGCTGACTGATCCCGCCTTACCGTTGGCCAGGTCTGGGCATCTCGCGGAGTCCTCTTCTCATCAAGCGGGAAGCTCGTGGTGTCCATCACCAACGGATAGCGGTTCACCATGAGGCGGCTCTTCTCATGGGCCGCCTCATGGCGTGCTCCCTCCTCCTCCTGCCTCCTCGAGCTCCTTCGCCCTCCCCCCCCCCCCGCGTGCCGGGCACCGGGCGCCGCTCGCACGCTTCGCTCTTGCACGAGCCTTCCCGTGCCTTCTCGCGTGTTCGTGCAGCGACAGTTCCAACGACTCCTCTCTCCTTTTTCTCCTTCCCCTCCCTACTGCCCTCCCTCCAGCCCTGCCTCCTCCGCCTCTCTTCCCCGTCCCCGGAGAAGAAATCATAAGCATGAGCTCTCGAAGGCCCGCGCGGATTTATCGGATCTGCGCTGTATCCCCCTGGCGGCGGCTCTATCGCCGCCCCGCGCGCGATCCACGCGCCAGGGAGGGGGGCCAGCGCGGACCCTCGAACGTTCATGCTCATGCAGGCTGTATCCTCTCCTGAGTCCTCCTCCTCCTCCTCCTCCTCCTCCTCCTCCTCCTCCTTCTCCTCCTCCTCCTCCTCCTCCTCCCTCGCACGCCGAGCTGGGAGGTCCACTGGATGGCCTGCCTGTGGGTCGCGTGCGAAGGCAAGCGCTGGAACGGTGTCATCGCGACCCTCATCGAGCGGCTCCGCCGGTCGGCGAGGAGCAGAGGCAGCGAGGAAGACCCTCAGGGGGAGGAGCGGGGAGGAGGAGCAGGAGGCAGGCGGATCGACGAGCAGGAGAGGGAGAAGGGCAGATGCAGGGGGGGACGATGATGGTGATAATGATGATGATGGTGATGATGATGGTGATGGTGATGCTGATGGTGATGGTGATTATGATGCTGATGATGCTGATGCTGATGATGATGCTGATGATGCTGATGCTGACGCTGATACTGATGATGCTGATGATGATGATAATTGTGGTGGTGGTCGTGGTGGTTGTGGTGAAGAAGGTGATGGTGATGGTGATGGCAATGTTGATGATGATCATCATGATGATGATGATGACGACGACGACGACGATGATGATGATGATGATGATGATGATGATGATGATGATGATGATGATGATGATGATGATGGTAATGGTGATGGTGATGGTGATGATGAGGAGGAGGAGGATTAGGAGGAGGATGAGGATGAGGAGGAGGTGGAGGAGGAGGAGGGACCAGAGTTAATCACATATCCATCAGCGATGCTGCAGTACACCTTCCCGTCCCAAGCCCCATCATCCGCCCCTACAAGTGTTCCTTCTCACCGCAAGAAGCGCACGCCTTGAAAGACCAGCACTGTTGGGCCTGCCATTTTGGCGAGGGCCCCGCTTTAGAAAGAATTGCCTCGCATCATTCTAGCGCGCATTGTAACCAGGAACGCGAAACCTAGGATCCTTCAGTCCAACGAGGTGTCCATCGAGATTACCCTTTTGAAGCCGGACCGCCCCCCCCATCTGTCTACCTATCGCGCACAGTTGCACTTGTGGTCATGCACTTCGAGGAAGTCCCCAGCGGCAGCTTCATTTTGAAAACGAGCCGCCCTGGGCCTGTGCAGCGGCACATTCGGTGAAGCCTCGGATTTTTGATGTTAACGGAGAGTCGGACGAGAGCCCCATCTTGAACAAGAGCAGTTCTCCCATGAAAACACGAATGCGCGCGGCGCTGAGTCGAGAGCCACATTTTTGAAAACGACTAGTGCTTCATGTTTGAACCTGTTGCGAGCTGTTGACACACTTACGCGGCGGTTAGACGAGTGTCCCACTTTAAAAGTAACCGCCTTCCATGAGAGTCAAGCGATTGCAGGCTGTTGTGACGCGTGTGCGTAGCGCTGAGGCGAGAGACCTATTTTTTTGAAACAACCCCCCTTCCATCCTGAAACATGGTGCAAACTGCTACGGCGATTGAAGATTGCTTCCCCTTCCATCCCTGAAGTTGCTGCAAGCCTTTAGTACAAATGTGCGCGGCGCTGAGGCGAGAGCCACATGATGAAAACAAGCCCCTCTATGGTTGAGATTGTGGCAACTTTGAGAACGGGCGTGCGTGGCGTTAAGGTGAGAGCCATGCTTTGAACACCACCCCGTCCATGCTGGAAACACTGGCAAACCTGGAAACGGGTGTGCGTGGCGTTCAGGCGAGAGTCACATGTGGACCCACCCCATCCAACCTTGAAGTTGCTGCAAAGAGCCAAGAAGAGTGTGAGCGGCGCCAGGCGAGAGCCCCATTTTGAACAGCGGCCCTCCATCCTTGAAGCTTCTATACATTTCCACGACGGGTGTGCGCGGCACTAAGGCGGGAGCCATATGTTGAACAAAAGGACTCCCTTGCAAATTCCATGCTCCACAAGCATTCCGGTCAGGAAGTTTCAGGCGAAACGAGACAGGGGGAGCCGAAGGCGGGAGGAGTAGCCAGGCAGGGTGACGCAAGGATGAGGCCAGAGGAGGTGGAGGAAGGAGAGCGAGGACGCAGGAAGAAGAGGAAGATAACAGGAATGACGATAGTGGTGATGACGGTTATGGTCATTGTGATGAGGACGGGGAGGATGATGGTGGTGATGGTAATTGTGATGGCGATGACGATATGATTGTAATGATGGTGATGATGGATATGGAGGTGAAGAAGAAACTGATGTTGATGATGATAATCACGCTGAATATGATGATATTTATGATGGTGATGCTGATGATGATGATGATGATGATGATGATGATGATGATGATGATGGAGACGGAGATAATGATGTTGATGATGGTGCAGATGATGATGATGATGATGATGATGATGACGATGATGATGCTGATCGTGATGATCGTAATAGTTATAGTTATGCTGATGAGTATGAAGATCAGGACGAGGATGCTGATGATCAGGAGGAGAATGGTGATGGTGATGGTGATGGTGATTGTGGTGGTCATGGTGGTGGTCATGATGATGATTACAGTATGATGATGATGATGTTGGCGGTGATGATAATGATGATGACGGCGATGATGATGATGCGAATGATGATGATGTTGCTGATGATGATGCTGATGTTGATGATGGTGACGTCGATGGCGATGACGACGGGGACGACGGTGATGTTGGTGATGGTAATGACAATGACAATGTACAAGAGGAGGGATGAGGGACGAGTTACGTTGAAGGAGGGGGCGGAGCGGGGATGAGGAGAACGACGGTTCGAAACTCATCAATCGATGCGCGTTCCGAGGATGACCTGTGTGTTTGTTGTTGTGCTGTGGGCACCCCACAGGACGTGTAGTTGTCGTTGGGCCAGTTTGGCGACGCGCGGCACGCTGTTTGGGCAACTGGCGCAGTGTGGCCTGACAGGCCTCGATCCGGCGGCGAGCTCTGCGGATCGGCTCGGCCCTGCACGGGGCGTGGAGCCGTTTGGGTTCGCAATTCTGTGTGCTCTACCGCTCCGGCACCGGAGCTGGCATGCAGACCGCCTTGCCTTGCCTTGTCTTGCCTTACATCTAGAACTTAGAGAAAAACTGATGCTTGATAGGTGGCGTTCTGATCGCGCCCACCCACCCAGCCCATTTATCAAGCTCGGTACACTTTTTTGTGTCTCGGACTTCAGCTTTGGCAAAGATGCGGAAGAACACGGAACTTGTTGCGATGATTCATCTGTTTTTTCCTCAGCTTTCTCAGAGTATAGTCCACGCTAAGAGGGCGCAACCCACGGCCAGAGCACTTTGCCGACGGTGATAGGCTCACAGGGGGGAGATCTCGTTTCGGGCACGAGGGGGCGACTGGAGGGCGGGAGGGAGCGAGGCGTGAGGCGGAGAGGACAACGGACAGAGAGAGCGAGAGAGAGGGGGACAGAGAGAGAGAGAGAGTGAGAGGGAGAGAGTGGGAGAAAGAAGAACCAACATGAGATGAAGTCCGGCTTCGAACAAAGACAAGCACTGCTTCGTCAATTAAGGAGTCACGACCAGAGCCCTCGACGCATTCTTTTCTCTGGAATCTCGAGCCCCGACATCAGGCAGGCATTGGCTGAGGCTAAATCGGTCCAGCGCGTCCGGAAACGCTCGGAGAACGTTCTGGAGCGCCCTGAAATGGGGCAGGATTCATTCTCCAAACGTGCCAGATCTCAGAGATTCCAGATACATCTGCGTCCACACATATCTTCGTCCTGGATTCATCCTATGGCATGCCGGAGAGCAAAACAAGAAGGCCCGCCAGTCCTGGGCGAGCGCGAGCTGTGCGGAGAGGCATTGGACAGGCCCCCGCCATGCGCTCTCAGGGAGCATCTTCGGTTCAGCTTGACAGTTTGCACGAATCGCCGAGCGGGCTTGAAGGGGGGTAACACCTCCTCAGCTTGCTCGGCAACTGCTTGCGCAGCATCGCGGCGATGTCGGGGGCACAGTGCGGCCGACGCGCGCGCCAGGCGGAAGAACCAGGGCTAGGGAAGCGGCCTCCATGCCGCACCTTCCAGAGACAGCCTCACCCGCCCGCGGGGATCTGCGCCAACGGCTATGCTTCCGCATCCGCCTCCTCTGGCTCTCTCTGGGCCCCCGGGCGTTTCGAGAGACCTCTTGAGGAGCTCCAAGAAGGACTTCCGGGGTGCGGGACGAGGGGGGCGGCCTTCGAGGCAGGGGCCCCTCAGAAAGGGGCCAGCCCCTTCTCACAGAAAGTTCTTCTTCGAAGGCTTCCTAGAAGGCAAGGCGGCTTCTAAAGCTCGGGCTGCTTTTTGAGAAGGCCACCCCCCGCGTCCCGCCCTCTTCTGGACGCTGCCGACGGGTTTCACGAAGTGGTGGGCGAGGTACATACCAAGGGTATGGAGGCAAGCTCTGGTCTTGACCCCAATCTTCGCCTGGCTCACGTTTCACTCTCAACGCTCACATTGAGGGGGATCTTGGCTCTGCAGAGCTGCCCATCGCCATTGGACAAGGTACCTAGTCCAGCCCTATCCCCGAATGGCGCATGCATCCACGAGGGCCCCTCTCCCCCCTTTCCCTCGTGCCCCTCCCCGTCCTGCTCTTTCTCCTCCTCTCTCCTCCTCCTCCTCCTCCTCCTCCTTTTCCTCCTCCTCCTCCTTCTTTTCCTCCTCCTTCTTTTCCTCCTCCTCCTTTTCCTCCTCCTCCTCCTCCTCCTCCTCCTCCTCCTCCTCTTTCTCCTCTTTCTCCTCCTCCTCCTCCTCCTCCTCCTTCTCCTCTTTCTCCTCCTCCTCCGTAGCTATTCTTGCTCAAGCCATTTTGCCTGCGGGCGGGCGCCATAGCCCCCACGCCAGCTGCCCGTTCGCTGCGGGCGCTCTTGCTGCATCATGGAGCGTAGGTCGCGCTCCCCAGCCTGGCAGCGCCGTGCGCGGCGGCAGCGAGCGCAGGTGCGGTCCGCCTTGCGTTTCGCAGCCGCCCGCGCCACCCTGGTTGGGCACCACGGCGAACGCCCTAGTGCTGCCATCATCGGCATCGGCGCTGGCATGGCGACGCCGCCCTGGCAGACACCTGCAAGGCAACAGTGGGCGTGCGCGGCCACCCGCGTCTGCGGGTTTCGGACAAATTTCGGATCCCGCACCACCTGCTACAAGGGCGGCCGTGACAAGTTTGGGGGGCAGCAAAAGGTCGACGACTCTGCCTCCAGCAGGCCGCCCTCGTCTCGGTCGGCTTTTGCTGGCCGCCGCCACCGCGCTGCACCTGGGGACG